CTTCCCCAGCACGGCCGGGTGCTTCAGCAGCTGCATGATGAGCGACGTGCTGGCGCTGGCGGTGGTGGCGTAGGCGGCAAAGATCAGCTCCAGGGTCCCGTCCTGCCGCGCAGAGAGGAGAGGCGCCGTGAGGGATCCGTTCAGCCAGGCAGCCCCAGCCCGGGGAACCCCACTCTGCCAGGGTCCCCCGAGCCTTAGCGTCATCTAGCTGGGTCCTGCCTGCTTCCTCCAGGCCTCATGTTGCTGGAGCATTCGGGCCCCGATGGACACAGGTCAGAGGGTCCGTGCCCTGATTCAGCAGGAGATACAACTGCTACTGCCCAGGGCAGGGGCACTGGCCTGGCAGTCCCCCGGGGGGGGCCACTCTCACTCACTGCTGGATCCGGGGCCCTGAGCCCCAGCAGCCTGGTCCGTGCAGTGAGCTCACAGGAAAAAGAAAAATCCCCAGGAGCCAGGCACTATGCAGGTGAGTGAGGTGGGGGCTCAGGGTCAAAACCCCAACCTTCCCAGTCCCCAGCTCCTTCCACTACCCCCAGGAGGACATCGGGGACCGGGAGGCAGTCTGAGGCCAGACCCACGAGGACCGGGGAGGGCACAGCAGTGAGAAGGCTGAGGGGACTCCTCCAGGGTATCCGGGGAGCAGGACCCCTGGGCCCTGGGTGCCCCGTGGAAAGGGCCCAGCAGGTGGCCTCATTCCAAGCCCTGGATTTTTCACATGTGGATGCCAGGCCCGGAGAGGGGCGTGAAGGGGCCTGGGTCCCTTGCTTGCCATGTCTCCACCTATGAAATGGGCAAGCTATTCGGCTCCTTCCTGGCTCACCAGGAGGAAAACTGAAGCTAGAAGCGGGGGAAACCAAAGGGGGGGGGGCGGGGAGTCTGCAGCAAGTCATCACGGCTCCTGGCAAGCGTGTGGGGGGCAGGGTCTACAGGAGGTGAACTAATGGGTCCCTTCTCAGGCGGAACACCCCCTAAGAAAGGCGGGCAGGAAGCCCTTCTCGGAGCCCTATGTGGACCGTCTCAGTGCTGGCAGCCCAAGTGGGCTTCATCAGTGCCAAGCAGGCTGGCATCAAAGGCCACCAACCGGAAAAGGCTGGTGGGATGGGAGGAGACCCGAGTCAGTTCCAAATCTAAGGACTGGGCTGCCCGAAAGCAGGTGGCTTCCCCGTCTGGGTCCGAGTTCCCCTAGGTGACCTTCCAGGGCTCTTGGGACCATTAAAATGCACTGAAATCGCAGAGACTCGGGGGAGGGAGGAGGTGGGCAAGCACCACTGACACTGAGTCCCTGCAGAGGGCGCTAAGGACCAGTTTCTCACATCTCTTTCCGATGGAGGCTAGGAGAGGGCGGGATGGAGAGAGAGCCTGGGGCCCCGTGTCATGGGGACACTTCACCAGCAGGACTGGGTGCACAGCGGTTCACGGGCAGAGGAAAGCAGCCCCGCCCATCGCAGATGCTCCCAGTCCTCCCACCAGACCCTGTGCAGGGCGGGCAGGGACATGGTCTCCCTCCTGCTTTAGTGCCAGCCCAGTGCGGCGATGCCGCAGCAGCTGCTCAGAAACTGTCCCTGTGGAGGCGGAGGGGGCCGGCGCCATCCCCCCCATGGGCACTGGTGCTGCCCGCGGGGAGGCCCCCACCTTCAGCTCCTGCATGGTCATCTCCTTCCCGTGCTCCTTGCTGCTCTCGATGAGGATGTCCAACGCGTCCGAATAGTCCTTGCCCTGCGTGCACTGCAGCTTCTCCCGGATCGCCTTTTCCAGGCCCTTCTGTAGGGTCTGTCGTGCCTGAATGCCCTGGGGGGAGAAGGGGACCATCCTGTCACCCCAAGGGGGAAAGCCAGGGCCACCAAGGGCCTCCTCCAAGGTGGGGGGCTGGGGGGTTCCTATGAGAACGTCCCCTCTCCACAGAGACCACGGTGAAGGCTCCCCCCGCCCTCCCACTGGCACCCCCTCTGTCCGCGTGACTGGGTGCTCACCCGCCGGTAGCCACTGAAGGGCAAGTCGACAGGCAGGGAGAAGACGTTCTCCACAAACTGCTGGTAGACCTCGAAGAGGTGGCCGAGGTCCTCTTCGGGGATGCTGAAGCCCAGGAGGACGCGGATGGCCATGCGGAAGGTGAGCTTCTGGGCCTCCTGGTACACGTTGATGGCCTCGGGGTGGCTGCTCCAGGCGCGCAGCGTGTCCTGGATCACCAGCTGGATCTTGGGCAGGTAGCTCTCCAGAGCCTCGTGGCTGAAGATCTTGGAGAACACCTGGAGGGAGGGAGGTGGGCGGCACCCGGTCAGCTGGGCTCGGGCTGCCTTCGAGGCTCCCGGGGGCCTGGCTGAGGCACAGGTCCCCTGGCTGTGATCGGGGGAAACTCCAGGTCCTCACCCTGGCCACGCTCCACCTTCTGTCTCCTGGACACAGTGCCCTCCCTGGCTCCCCTAGCCCAGTGGTCGGTAAACTCATTAGTCAACAGAGCCAAGTATCAACAGTACAACGATTGAAATTTCTTTTGAGAGCCAAATTTTTTAAACTTACACTATATAGGTAGGTACATTGTTATTAACTTAATTAGGGTACTCCTAAGGCTTAGGAAGAGCCACACTCAAGGAGCCAAAGAGCCGCATGTGGCTCGCGAGCCGCAGTTTGCTGACCACGGCCCTAGCCTGACGGGCCTGTGTCTTGATGGCGGGTGGCGGGGGCAGGACGGGATGAAAACATCATTCATCAGAATTTTTACTCGGAGACCTTCCACATCACTCCCAGGGTGACCTGCGCGCTCATCTTCTGTCTGGAGCTCAGAAAAGCTTGTGCTCCAAACAACGGCAAAGCTCTGGGGGCTGGGCAGCCCAACTGCCCACAGGTCTGTGGCTGATGCGGCCGTCCCAGCCATGGGGGCAACACAGAGAGGTCTGGGCAGGGCTGGAGGGGAGGCAGTGGCCCATTCCCGAATCCCCAGGCCACAGGGCAGAAGTGCCCAGGAGAGGAACGAAGGTGAGCAGAATGGGCGAGGACGAGGTGGCTCTTCTGCTCCAATGACGGAGAGCAAGAGAGTCTGAGGCTAGACTGCAAGTAGGACTTCCTGAGGCCCAAATTTGCTCTCACTCCCTGGGAACCATGTACAAGGTGGAGATCCTAGAGCAGCAGTTCTCAACCTGTGGGTCGAGACCCCTTTGGGGGTCGAACGACCCTTTTACAGGGGTCGCCTAAGACCATCGGAAAACACATATATAATTACATATTGCTTTTGTGATTAATCACTATGCTTTAATTATGTTCAATTTGTAACCATGAAAATACATCCTGCATATCAAATTTTTACATCACAATTCATAACATTAGCAAAATTACAGTTATGAAGTAGCAACGAAAATAATGTTATGGTTGGGGGTCACCACAACATGAGGAACTGTATTAAAGGGTCGCGGCATTAGGAAGGTTGAGAACCACTGTCCTAGAGGGTCTGTTAACAGCTGGGCCATCAAAAAGGTTTCAGTGTGACCAGGTTTGGAGGCAAGGGGGTGGGGGCTAGGCTTTCCACCCCAAAAGATCACAAAGGCTAACAGAAGCCCTTTCTCATTCCTGGCATCTTCCTGGTCCATGTTAAGTAGCCA